AAAAAAAAAGAGCCTGAGAAGGTGTGCGAACTGGCAACCCTCCACCGTCCAGCTCTGTGCGCAGTCTCTTCCGCACATCCTCTCTCCCCTGGCACTAAGCAGCCGGCACACTGGCAAAATCCGAGGCTGCCTTTTTGCACCCAGTCCAGCTATGGGCTTATTCTCAGAGTTCCCTTCTGCCAGCAGCCCTGCGGGACCCCTTCCACACTCAGGGATCACGCTGGCCCCAATGGCCGCGGACTTTGTGGGGCGCAGAGTTCCCCCGCCCGCGTTCCTCTCTCCAACCTGGATTGCAAACTGCACCTTTAGGTGAAATCTGACCTTTCTGTGAGGAGGAGCAGGGCTTGTCTGAGTCCACGTAGTCGCGCTGCTTGAGATGATCCCTGGATGCCATGGTTGCAGGGTCTCTGGATGTATATGCTTGGATATCAGCCACTCAAGATGGCGCGGTCTCCGCGGCTGAGCCGGCCGCTCCGGGAGAGATTTCAGCAGCAGTGGAGGCTGCCCGGTTACGGGAGCCCGATCCGGCAGTCTCCAACAGCCCCCTTTCTCCTGGAGTCCTCTGTCTTTCCCGGCTGCAAACTGTCTCCCAGCTGAATCTCCTCTGCCAATTTGGGCTGGATGGTACTGGTTTCAGCTTCTCACCCTATCTGCTCCAGGACAAGGCACGGGACACGTCCGTCTATACCGCTGCCATTTTAGATCTCTCCATTTTTCTTTATTCTCTAGCAAATAAGAGACTGTTGTCTTTCCCTGCTCTGTACCTCCTCTGCTTCCTCCATAAATATTTTTATAAAGGAAGATAATCAATATTTGTTAATGTGCCAGTAACTGTGTTAGTGTTATAATTTAATCTTCACATCAGTTTTATGAGGTTAAGATCTTTTTTATCCATTTGACAGATGAAAATAAAGCTCAGAGTGGTGAGCTAATTTTCTTAAGGTCACACAGCTAGAAATTGGTAGAGCTGTATTTAATTACCAATCTCTCTGACTCCACAGCCTACACTTTGTCCATTATGTCACATATTAATTTCTTAATGTATATTGCTCATTCCAGACAACCCACTTTTTTAAGAGGGCTAAAACTCAACTTCAAGAATTCTTGTCCTGTTACATTCACTATAACAAATTCACTGTCTAAGACTTCATCATTGTAATAAATAAAGCATGGTCTTTGTGGTCCAAAACATCTGGGTTCAGATCCTGGCTCTGCCACTTAGTAGCTTTATCACAAGTTGCCTCTCTAAGTCTTAACTTCCTCAGCTTTAAAAAGGGACAATAATGGTATTTATAGTATTATTTGGCTAAAAGAGAACAAAATGTTCCTGATGAGTACTCATTTATTTCACTGTCACTTAGTTTCTTCAGATGTTACTTTAAGAGAGTGGCAGTAGATGTATTATCACTGCAAACACCTGAAACCCACAGTTTCCTCATCTTTCAGGTGTTTGCAGTGATAATACATCTACTTTGTGGGACTGAGATTAGTGTCAAGTGAGATAATGCATATGAGAGTTTTTAAAAACACAAGTTCTATGTAAATTCAAGGTAAGGTTCTTTATTTCCATAATTCTTTTTTACTGATTCTATACACTGGTTCAAAACCAATTAACATACCTAAATGACTTCTGAGTGATAATTTAGCTTAGAAAGACTAGATGGTGTCTTAGTAAATTAATGGATAAGGTAAGCTACTGGCTTTCTCTGTCTGTCAAGACAGAATGTACACCTAGACTAGACCTTTAGCTAGCTACCGTCTGCAATTGCAGCACCTACACCATGGAACTGTCTAGTGCCAATGACAGAGTGACTCTGTGTCTTAGCCCACACTTTTTAAACTGAGGGGTAAACTACAGAGAGAGAATCTGGATTCAAGTTACTATATTACTATTGAACTGAAAAGGCATTTTGAGATTCTGTGTAAACACTCAAGAGCTATTATAGCCTGGCCAGTTTGGCTCAGAGGTTGAACGTCAAGCTCTGAAATAGCTCACTGGTTTGATTCCCAATGGTCAGGGCACACACCCGGGTTTTGGACTAGATCCCCAGTAGGGGGCTTTCAAGAGGCAGCCGATCAATGATTCTCTCTCATCATTGATATTTCTATCTCTCTTCCTCTTCCTTCCTCTCTGAAATCAATAAAACATATATATACTAGAGGTCCGGTTAAAGAAATTTGTGCACGTCCCTAGGCCTGGCCAGCGATCAGGGCCAATCGGGGCCTTCCTTCCCTTGGCTGCCAGCTGGGGCCTTCCTTTGTTCCATGCCGCCCCCTGGTGATCAGCGTATGTCATAGTGGGCGGTTGAACTCCCGGTCAGTCAAACTCCTGAGGGGACAATTTGCATATTAGCCTTTTATTATATAGGATATGTGTGTGTGTGTGTATTTTTTTTTTAAGAACTATTATATCAATAGGGTTAAGGGCCTCATCTGTCTTGGGCCTTTGTTGCTAAAAGATAAAGTACCTATTTCAGAAAGGAGCATGTGTTATTTCAAAACAATTGAGAAGTAGGGCTAGACCAGTGATGGTGAACCTTTTGAGCTCGGCGTGTCAGCATTTTGAAAAACCCTAACTTAACTCTGGTGCTGTGTCACATATAGAAATTTTTTGATATTTGTAACCATAGTAAAACAAAGACTTATATTTTTGATATTTATTTTATATATTTAAATGCCATTTAACAAAGAAAAATCAAACAAAAAAATGAGTTCGTGTGTCACCTCTGACACGCGTGTCATAGGTTCGCCATCAATGGGCTAGACTAACTTTATGTATTATTGCCATGCAGTCTTGTCTTTTTCCCAAATGAATGATCTGGTATATTTCTTTGCTTATAATGATGCAAGAGCAATGTCCAAAGAACAGGTGGCAACTGGTGATATGTGGGTATATACTGAGTAGCCAGATTATTATGACCACCTGACCTTTGTAGGCAAATTAGCTATAATTTCACACTGAAATTGCTAGAGGGCCAGACCATTATAAATAGGGAAGCAGGTTGTTTACCACGACAGTAGAAGTGATTTTTTTCTGAAGATATGGGTAAACAACACGATTTAACAGCCTTTGAACGTGGGATATATTTGAACATGAGTGGCCAGATTATTATGACCACCCCATCATTACTTCGTTGGGCCACCTTTTGCCTTCAATACTGCGGCGATTCTTCTTGGCATTGACTCCACAAGATGTTGAAAGGTGATGTGAGGAATCTGACACCATGCCTGATGAATAGCACTGTCCAGTTCTGTGAGAGTTGATGGTTGTGGAACCAGCTGCCTGGTGGCTCTTTAACTTCGTCCCACAAATGCTCAATTGGATTGAGATCTAGTGATTGTGGGGGTCACCTAAGCAAGGTGAAGTCTCCCTCATGTTCTTGAAACCACTTCTGCACAATATGAGCACCGTGGCATGGCACATTGTCTTGTTGGAAGAAGCCA